AAGATAGCTGCCCGGTCGGCGGCGTCTCGGCTGTGGTGGTTTCTTTTGTAATTAATCATCCCCGGAACAGGGGGCGGCGAGCGTGCAAATACACCTGGAACGATGTTCCGAATCCCTGAGCCGTTCAAGCTGCAGCTCACAGCTGATTTACCCCAGCAGGAGAGCTGCCTCCTCCTTCCTGGTCCCGCGATCCGCTCTAGCGCTGGCTTTGTCTTTGTGCGGCGATGTGACATTTTGAGCGCGCGCGCTGCGGGATGCGTATCCCTTGAGATCTCTTAATAGGGAGGGAAATCCAGGTGGTGGCACACAGCTAATGGGACCCTAGGGCTCTGCCCAATGCTACGCCCCCTCTCACCCATGCTGGGCCTTGCCTCTTCTTGGGTGCTAGTCGCAGGGGCTACCTAGACATCAGCTAGTGGCTGGGGGGGCTGAGGGCATTTTGGGGCCTGTCCTTTCTGCATGGCCGGGCCACAGCAGGTCCCAGAGGAGCAAAGCATCACCTCCCACACCACCGTCATAGAGGACAGTGATTGGGGGGGGGACGGGACTCTGTCCCCGAAAACTCCTGTGAAGTCACAGGCTGGCCCAGCGGCAAGCAGAGACATGGCTTCCCCTGCCCTGGCCAAAATCTTTGCAACCCACTTGTGAATGTGTGTCACACTCTTGCGCCACAAGCCTGTTACCAGCCCCGTTCAGGGGCCTCAGCTCAGGCAATAGCAACTCGTGCTTCCAGCCGACAGTCGATCCTTGCTGCAGCGACACTTGGGTGGGCGGACAATGGTGGGGTGGAAAGCCCCCATGCTCGGGCCCTCGCTCGGCTGGAGCACTCACGGGGCCAGGCCCAGCCCCAGCCCCTGGCCCCGCTGCGGGAGCAGCCCTTGCGTCCAGCCTGCATGGGTGGGTGGACCACAGTCCACTTAGGCCCACGCATGGCCATGCCACTGCCCGGCTGTACCTGCCAAGATGGCCTCCCTCACGCCGTACCCTAGACTGGTAGCACGTTATTACGTGCACCGGAGAAAATCGTGCAGTGTGTGGTGAGTCCATTACCCACGGATCCCAGCAACGTTCGGTGCACTTCCCATGAGTTCTCAGTGTTCATTGTGCATCCAAATGCTCTTTAAGGCATGGGTTCCCAAACGGGGGGGAGGGGGGAGGGTGAAAAAAACCAAGGGGGGGGCGTATGTGGCGACCCAGCCCCCCCTCCCCATCAATCCCTCCCCTCCTAAGTTTTGCTGCTATTTTTGTTTTTTGGCCCATCAGTTCCTTTTTTTTTT